ACCGTCACATAGTAGGATCTCTCCTTGGGTGCCCAGTTGACGTAAAACTCCCGGACCATGTGCAAGTTACATTCGTCCGGGTCAGCAAAGATAAAATCCATGCCGAGCTCCCTAATTCACCTCCGGATCTGGGGGAACTCACGTGCCAGACTGTCCCCGTCAACACAGACATCAGAAAAATAAGTGGCGTCGGTGTGCTTCTTATACCAAGCCTTTCCTTCTGTGGTGACAACCTTCACCCCAAATCGCCTAGTTTGACCCTTGGGAAGTGCAGGTGCGGGTGGGACATTCCCACTTTGGACACGTTTCCTATTGCTTGATGTGGCCACTTCTTTGCCGGGTCTGTGTGAGCTAGACATGGTGACCTGCAAAATATACCAAAGTTCAGCCCCCATGACTGCAAAACAATGATAATAATATGGGTGGTGTGCGCACACCACCCCACACTTAGTTCAATGCAGTCTCAGCTTAGGTACTCAGACTTCCCATAATTTACCAGCAACATACTCAAGTAATTACCAAGCTCATCAAATCGGTAAGGCATCACAATATCAGAGACAACCACAAAACAATTGGAAAGTGCTACTCAAGACTTCACACAACTAATATAGATCCCTGAGTACACACTGCCACCCAGCCAACATTTCCTAACAACAGTAATCCTTCACTCCGTGTTTGCCAAAATAGTATCTACTCAAGATACTAGACCTTCAATAGTCGAGGTAGTCAAACCCCCCATACTACCTCTCAATTCACTGCTAACACTATATCAATCATTAACCATTCAGACACAATTGATCACGAGCAAGCATAACCCACAAATCTTTACCCCATGCTAGATCAACAACAGTGAACATTAAATGATTTTTACTCAAGAATTCAAAATCACCTATAACCACAATATCGCCCAACGCAGAAACCTATGATTAACCAAGGCACATTACACGTAAGGAATTGAGTACACCCAAAAACAATTTGTCAAACATTCCCATATACTATACCCTAGCAATTTAACCCAAGAATCAGGCAACACTGTATTTCTACTCAAACTTCGAAACACACATAGCCCAACACGAAACATACGATAATGACAACATAAAACACCCTTCCCAACTCCCTAAAATTCGAGTAACCAACAACCCATGGCAAGACATCTCAAACTGTCCTAGAATTGCAAGAATAAAATAAGAGCACATACCTGGCGACGTGGAGTTTAAAAAAAATGAAGAAGAGCAAGAAGGGTGTAGTTGTGCGACACGAGACTCCTTAAAGAAATTCGCAGAAGTGAAGGGAAGGGGTGAAAATCATGGTGAATGTAGTGAAAAGGGGAAAAGATGGGGAATTTTGGGGGACAAATCGGGGTTAAAAAAGGCTTGGGGTCGGGTAATGTCAAACGAAACCAGGTAAAACCCGGTTAGTTAATGAAAAATGAAATTTACTCACCTGGGGCGCGATTGGCACGGAGTCCACTGGAAATTTAATTCCAGGCGAGGCCAATATTTGGCCTTTGCTCCGCGTCGCGGGGCTAGCACGATAATGTCTTCTTTTTGACGTAAAAGTAACTTACCATCGAACTCAAAATTCTAGACCTCCTCCGCGACGCGCCACATACACGGAGTCCTCTGCCTCAAATAGTATCAGGTGAGGAAAAATTATTCCCTGCCTCCGCGACGCGCTCCCTACACGGAGTTGCCTTGGGCGAAATTTCCTCATCCTGCATATTATCAGTTCAACACCCATTAATAAAAAACATGATGGGTTGCCTCCAATCCAGCGCCTTAGTTTTGGTCGTGGCATGACGCATTTTTTTGTATTTTTCTTGATATATCCATTTTTTTACTAATTCCCAAGAACTGAAATAACCAAATAAGAACAAATAAATCCTAACTATTACAATGGTTCACGGGTTGCCTCCCGTGTAGCGCCTGATTTAACATCGCGGCACGACCCATCTCATGATTCATTCATCATTCAATGTGAGCGCTTCAAGCTCACGATCTACATCCTTACCGAAGTAGTGCTTCCGTTGACCATTTACAAGGAAAGTAGAGCTCTTATCCTTGTTTCGTAATTCTACAGCACCATGTTGAGTCATCCTCACCACCTCAAACGGACCACTCCACTTAGACCGAAGCTGCCCTGGGAACAACTTCACTCTAGAATTGAAAAGTAACACTAACTGACCAGGCTCAAAGGTGCATAACACAATGTGCTTGTCATGCCACCTTTTGGTCTTTTCTTTATACAGCTTTGCATTTTCATAGGCGTGAAGCCTAAACTCTTCTAGCTCGTGCAGCTGTGTGATCCTTTTTCTGCCTTCTAACTCAGCATCTAGATTCAGCTTCTTAATCGCCCAATATGCCTTGTGCTATAACTCAGTTGGTAAGTGACAAGCTTTCCCAAACACCATTCAATAAGGAGAAGTCCCTATCGGTGTCTTGTAAGCAGTCCGATATGCCCATAAGGCATCATCTAACTTGTCAGCCCAATCTCTTCTTTGGGCATTCACAGTCTTTTGGAGGATCTGCTTGACCTCCCTGTTTGATACCTCTACATGTCCGCTAGTTTGGGGATGATATGTTGTAGCCATTTTGTGCCGCACCCCATACTTCGCTAATAGACTATGAACTAAGTTATTGATAAAGTGCTTACCTTCATCACTGATTATCACCCTTGGCGTTCCAAACCTAGTGAAGATGTGCTTTCGAATGAACTTGACAACCACTTTGGCATCATTTGTTGGCAATGCAACAGCCTCCACCCACTTAGACATGTAGTCCATAACGACTAGAATGTATTGATTACCCCGGGATGATGGGAATGGTCCCATAAAGTCTATCCCCTACACATCAAAGATTTCCACCTCTAGTATGTTGTTCAATGGCATCTCATGCCTTTTCGAAATGGTGCCCATCCTCTGACTGATCGCAGCCTTTCACAAACAAAACAGCATCTTTAAACAAAGTAGGCCAAAAGAAACCAGATTGCAATACCTTATGCGCAGTTCTTTCGCCTCCATCATGTCCACCATATGGCGACGCGTGGCAACTCTCCAACACTTGTGTCGCCTTCTACTCAACTATACACCTTCTAATCATCTGATCCGGACCCTGCTTGAACAAATAGGTCTCATCCCATATATAAAAGCGGGCATCATACCTTAACCTCTACCTCTGATGTGTTGATGCCCCAGGTGGAAATAAACCATTCACCAGAAAATTCACAATATCTGCATACCAAGGCACCTGAGCAATGTCCAAAGCAAGCAACTGCTCATCAGGAAATTTTTCACGAATTTGCCTTTCATTTTTCACATGAGACGAATCCTTTAGGCGGGAGAGATGATCAACTATTTGGTTCTCAGTTCCCTTCATATCTCTTATTTCGAGGTCAAACTCTTGCAGCAACAGGATCCACCTAATCAACCTAGGTTTGGTATCCTTCTTGTTGAACAAATACCGAATGGCCGCATTATCAGTGTAGACTATCACTTTGGTTCCCACCAAGTATGACCTGAACTTGTCGAATGCAAACACCAATGCCAAAATCTCTTTCTCAGTAACTGTGTAGTTCGATTGGGCTGCGTTAAGTGTTTTGCTCGCATAGTAGATGGAGTGAAACACATTGTCCTTTCTCTACCTAAGTACTGCCCCAACTGCTATATCATTAGCATCACACATCAGCTCAAAGGGAAGCTCCCAATATGGAGCAATAAGAATAGGAGCCTCAATCAACTTCTGTTTCAACATCGCAAAAGCCTGCAAACATTTTTCATCAAACACAAATTTCATCTCTTTCTCTAATAAGCTGCACATATGTTTTGCAGTTTTAGAGAAGTCCTTGATGGACCTCTTGTAAAAACCAACATGTCCAAGGAAGCTTTGCACTCCCTTCATTGATACTGGTGGTGGCAACTTCTCAATCACTTCCACCTCACTCTTGGAGATCTTGTGCCCCAACACAATTCCTTCTCTAACAAGAAAGTGACACTTCTCCCAGTTCAGCACCAGATTGGTCTCCTCACACCTAGCAAGAACCCTATCAAGATTAGATAAACAAAGTTCGAACGACTCACCAAACACTGAGAAATCGTCCATGAATACTTCAACAAAATCGTCCATGAATACTTCAACAAAATCTTCCACCATATCATAGAAGATTGCCATCATACATCTCTTAAATGTGGTTGGAGCACTGCACAAGCCGAATGGCATGCGTTTGAACGCATACGTGCCATATGGGCAAGTGAATGTCGTCTTCTCTTGATCCTCAGGTGCAATGACGATCTGATTATACCCTGAATAACCATCAAGGAAACAGTAATACTCTTGGCCAGCCAACCTGTCTAACATTTGATTAATGAACGATACCGGATAGTGGTCCTTCCTGGTGGCTTCATTGAGTTTTCTGTAGTCCATGCATATCCTCCACCCATTTACTATTTTTGTGGAGATCAACTCATTTTTCTCATTGGTCACAACTGTCATTCCTCCTTTCTTAGGCACACACTGCACTGGACTTACCCATTTACTGTCAGATATTGGGTACACAATCCCTGCATTCAGCCACTTGATGACTTCTTTTCTAACAACATCCTTCATCAATGGATTTAATCTCCGCTAATGTTGTGCACTTGCCTTGTACCCTTTTTCCATGTATAGTTTGTGCATACACAGTGCAGGACTAATACCATGGATGTCAGATATTTGCCATCCCAGAGCTGCTTTTCTCTTCTTTAAAATAAGTAGTGCGGCTGATAATGCTGCAGACAAAATAACCGATAAAGTTTCATCTTCACCCAAAAATGCATACCTGAGGTGGGCTGACAGTGTTTTCAACTCCAACTTGGGTGCTTCTTCAATGGAAGGTTTAGGTGGAGGACCCAACACCCTATTCAGAGGCTCCCAGCGCTCTCCAGCAGTAACCATAAGAGACACATCAAGGAATTGCACCATTTCATGTGCCTCAGCATCCCCATATATGTCATCACCCACTAACACTCACTCTAGAGGAACCTTAGCTGCAATATATTTAGCTTCTGCCTCAAGATTTATCGCGGTTATGGAAGACAACTCATTATACACAGCTGGCAATTTTAAGGCTTTGTATACATCAAACACCTCCACTTTATCATGAGCTCTCATAGTAAGCTGCCCAACTGCTACATCTATCATTGCCCTACCAGTCGCTAAGAAAGGTCGTCCTAAGATGAAATGGATCTCAGGATCAGGCTCGAAATTCAATACTACAAAGTCTATTGGGAAAATCAGATATCCCACTTGTACTAACACATCTTCCACAACACCCTCAAGTCTAGCTATAGATCTATCCGCCAACTGCAAAATTATGGTAGTTGGTTTAGGACTACCCAACCCCAGTTTTTTGTACAAAGAAGTTGACATCAAGTTTATACTCGCTCCTAGATCACACAACCCTCGAGCATGGATACTTTGCCCTATAGTAATCTGCACAGTAAAACTACCTGGATCTTTTAGTTTAATGGGCAGCTTGTTCTGAATTCTGGAGTTGAACTCTTCAGTAAGTGCCACATTCTTATACTCTGTCAGCCTCTTTTTGTTTGCTACGATCTTTTTCACATACTTAGCATACCTGGGTATACCCTGCAAAACATCCACCAATGGCAAGTTAATGTGAACTTGTTTCAGGAGAGAGAGAAACTTACCAAAACATTCATCCTCCTTTTGTTTCTTAAACTTCTGAGGAAATGGAAGGGGTGGTATCACTATTGATTGCACACTTTCTTCCGGTGCAACTACTTCATTCTCCTTAAGCTTACCCTCTTTAGGTTCACTCTCTGTGTTTATAACTTCAGTGTTTCTTTCCTTAGGAGTTAACTCCTCTAATTGCAAACCACTGTGTGTGTTTAATGCATTCACCTGTTTAGGATTTGGGTTAGTGTTTCCAGGCAAACCTCCTTGCGGTCGTGAATTTTGGGCACAAGCAAACTGCCCAAATTGCTTCTCCAGATTCTGTGTAGCTAACTGATTATTCCTCACATCAGCAGCTAACTGGGCTTGATCAGCCATAATCTTTTTCAGCATCTCCTCCACACTAATGTTTCCGGTTTGCTGCTTGGGTTGCTCCCTTTGTGCCTGTGGTTGATAACCATTGGCATTGCTGATACGCTCAAATTACACCTCCTTACAGAAGTATAAGCTATCGTTATCAAGTAAAGAACCCAACTTGTAGGTTGGGATCGATCCCACGAGGAAAATGGTTTAGACTTTACTTTAACTAACAATTATATTCAATTAGTCAAATTATTTCCAGAAACGGGTAATAAAAGGGGGGTTGTGTTTGTGTAAAACAAATAGTAAGAACTTAATAAGTAATCAATAATCAAACTCAACTTAGGTTGTTATCAAGATAAGAGAAATAACTAGGGTATACGTGTTCCCCACAATCTCATAACGCAGCAATCCTAGTAACAACAATCCTTTTCTAGTGTATTACATGCAAAGTGATAAGTTAGGTATCTCTAAATCCTTGGTCCGGCATCTAGAGAATTTCACCCCGCACCTTGGTCCGGCTACGTGTGTATAATTTACTAACCCTTACCTTTACCTCATATTAGACATCATAATCGATGTTTGGCTTAGTTATTACTTCGCACCAATCGACACTAGCCTATTAGATAGTATCACACTAAATCTATGTTGATAATTCTTTTCTTATTAATTACCTCCTTGGTCCGGCAAGTAGTAACAAGGCGAGTTCTAACGTTGGCCACCGTTAAAAAGACTTCTAAACGAAAGAATTATCAATGCATGCAAAACACTATTCAAGAATTACTTATTTACTATTCATACTTTGTTAATCACTCATGGATCCCACAACCCTAGTTGTGAAGTTTAGTTACCCATAATAGCAAGAACACAATTCACACTATTAGATGAAGAAATCATGAACTTACGTAGAACGAATAATAAACCCAGAATTTCAACTTGAGTTGCAAAGCCAAAATCTTCAAACGAATGCAGAAAATCGATAATAACTAGGGTTTCAACTTAATCTCCAAAGTCACAAGGTAAAACTAGAATAATAATGTCTAACCCCCAAAAACGAGGTTTACAAGCCCTATTTATAGAAAACAACTCCTAAATAAAAAAGGAAACGAATTAAGGAAAGTTTTGTTCAGGTACGCGTCTTCAATCCACGACACCGACTTACGGACCGTCGATGGATCTACGGTCCATAAGTCCCTTCC